AATTTGTTAGTCTCTAAGGTGCCACAAGTACTCCTGTTCTTTTTGCATAATAGATCAATGGCCCATCTTGTCCATTATCCTCTTTCAGTATGCTTCAGATTAAGGCATAAAATGGCCATAATGCACCTCTGTGCAGTACTAGACTATGGGTGACAATTTATTTCTGACCTTCAGCTGGTGACATGCTTAAGCATGAGAATTGATTATGTTTGTAATTTTAATTTTATGATATAGGCCTGGTCTACACTAACCCCCCAAGTCGAAGTAAGGTACGCAACTTCAGCTACGTGAATAACGTAGCTGAAGTCGACATACCTTACTTCGAACTTACCGCGGTTCAGACGCGGTCCACACGTGGCAGGCAGGCTCCCCGTCGACTCCGCGGTACTCCTCTCGTTGAGCTGGAGTACCGCAGTCGACGGCGAGCACTTCCTGGTTCGATTTATCGCGTCCAGACCAGACGCGATAAATCGAACCAGGAAGTTCGATTTCCAGCCGCCGAACTAGCGGCTAAGTATAGACCAGCCCATAGTTTAAGTTCAGATTCTAGTAATACTAGTGTGCCTAATCCATTTTTTTAATCTTATGAAGGTATTTGCTTCTATAAAGTCATGAGTGTTAAATTGTCAAGGCTTTATATTACTGTGTGACTCTTTAAGTGAAGAATTTGATGCAGAAGGCAAGTGTTTTGTACAGTAAGAAATTATTTTTTTCCCTAGCCTACAGACTATACACTGTAGTTCCTCGACTAGTTAAGTTTGTTGATGTACTGACCAACTGGTACGTCAGAATGAATCGCAGAAGATTAAAGGTAGGTGCTATTTCTGTTGCTAACTTTACTGTAGATAGAGCCCAATGTAGTTTAAATAGATTAATTAAGCTAATAAAATCCTTATAGAAACTTTGTGTGTTATATAAAACTGGGTAGCTTTCAGCTGAATAGCTGAAATTGCAAATAAATATGATTTTCTCTTTTTACTTCATTTATGTTCTTGCCCCTTTGTTTCTTCATAGGGCAAGTAAAAATACACAGTAGCCCATAATTTTTGTTTTGTTGGGTAGGATTGAACTGTAATTGTGGATCTTGGAAAGCTAGCATTTATTGGGTGAAGGAGTAAAATCATGTATTACAGTGTGAGAATGTAGTTCATGATTTTAAAAGTATAGATGTTTTTCTAATCCTTTTCCTTTCTCCATGGATACTTTGAATAGGGTGAAAATGGGAATGAGGACTGCATTATGGCCTTGGAAACCTTATTTGGTGTTCTGTATGCAATGTGCAGACTCATGGTAAGGGTTTTACACTCAACTCTAATTATTTAAAGGCAGACATCAACTGAGATTATAAAGAGATTTGAATAATAATGGGTTAAATGCAAATGGAAGGTGAACAGCTGGCATCAATTTAATTTGTTCATCATGGCCTATTCCTTGAATTAGTGTTATACTTTGTAGTGTTAAAACGCAAAGTAAATATTCCATTTTTGCAGAGCTGTCTGTTGGACAGTATAATCCTGTAACATAAGGATTCCTGATTAATAAGAAAAAAGGAACACACACAAAAACTTGTGTTTTAATGATGATGAAGATAATTGGTTGAAAATATAGAAGATACAATTCAGTAAGAGAGTGCATTCATGAATAATAATATATAAAATATTGCAGGCACCTTATACTCCCTTTATCACTGAAATGATGTACCAGAATCTGAAGACCCTTATTGATCCGGCCTCAGTTCAGGAGAAGAACAGTGATAGCATTCACTATCTCATGCTTCCTCAAGTGAGGTAAGAAATAGTCTCTATTGGCGATAGTGGACAGGGTTCTCTTTCCTGTAGTTACAGAGAGAAGTTCTTCATACCTTATTCACATATTTAAACAAAGCAAAAATACCAGTCTTGGGCATTTACAAGCATGCAAGGAACACATTTTTTGATACAAAGGATGCCTTTTGCAACCAGAAAATGATCTTGCAGTCGTGCTTATTTTTTTAAACACTTCTGTTTTCCTTAGGCAGGCAAAATATGTAATTGAAGTGTTTATGAAACTATTTTACTCCTGTATACCACTTTGCTTTAGGGGAGTGTTTCCTTTTAGTCTTTAACACACTTGCCATTGCTGAGGTGTGTTACCTTGACAGGACTGGCTGGGGCAGTATTGATAAGGTGCTGTGGCAGTATTGGGAGGAAAGGTGCAGAGTTAGCACTCTTTTTAGATCCAATCTCTCCCCTTCAGCAAAGAAGCTGGCTACAGACTTGGGTTTCTCTGCATGCTGAGAACCAGTAGGGGTATACAGCTTGCTGGGGCAAGAGAAGAGGGGTCACAGAGCTATAATGTTCCCCATTTCTCATAGGCATGAAGTGTCTCTTTCAAGATGGATGCTTAATTGGAGGCTGCAGTGCCTGCCTTCTCCAAAAAGACCCCCAAAGGATCGTAAAACTCTGTGCCAGAGCCTTTTCATGTCTGAATATGTCTGGCCATAAGCCTTCCTCAGTACCAGTCTGGTGTTAAATCTCAGACTGAAAGAGGTTGTTGCCTTGAATGGGCTCCGTAAGGAACTGTGAAAATGATTTCCACTGGCTAAGGGTCTGTGTTCTTCAGGTGGAGCCAAGGAAAGCTCCTCTTTACAAAAGGATACATGGTAAGAAAGATAAGGATCCTGTCACTGAATTTGCTTGGATTTTGGTGTGATCAGTGTCCTGTAAGTGAGGGGTCCCAAAAAGGATTTTCTTGGATCCAAGTTGGTCACATCAGTCTGCCTCACCAGGTCACCCATTATATCAGTCTGACTATATATGAGGAGTCTACAGCTTTTGAAGGCTATGGAGAGATTTTTCTCTGAAACTGTCTTCCCCCTAGCACCATGAAGGTGAGCCGTTACAACCATGGCGACCCCTGTTCTAAAGTAAGCTCATGTCATTTGCAAATCCATGGGGTCCTTGGTTCCTGCGGATCCAAGGTGGTACTGGGGACTTCTCAGAAATGAGAAGAAAAAAGGTTCTTTCCTGTTGTACTGCAGCTCAGCCTCACAACCCAGCAAGAACGACACAGGAACATATTTGGGACCTCAGATGTCAGCTTGGGCCACCCAGAGTTTAAATCATACCCACGTTTTTCTTTTTATGCATATTGTGCCTTTTGGTGTCTCTGACCAAGCAAGAGAGCTACCAGTTGTGTTCCTTCTGATGGCTATACAGTGTACACTATACAGTATACACTAATTGGAAAGTATTGTTACAAGAAATCTACTGAGATTCATTTAGCAATGCTGCTGATTTTATGTATTCTAGAAGTGTATTTTCGATGACACAGAATGTGAAACTGATAAGTTGTCATTAGGAATACCCTTGAACTGGTGATGTATATGGACAAATAGAAGGAAATTCAGTTATTCATGGCAACTTAATTTGTGTAACTTATTGGGTCCCATGTGCATTCCTGTTCCCTTCTACTAATCAAATCAAAGATAGATGTGATTTTAAAACTAAATTACACTTGAGGTTTTATAGTGGCTAAAAATCAGGCAGTCATTTTTCTTTGTTGGTGCCTTTTTTGTCTTAGTGTTATGTTTAAATTAAGCTTTGATTGTGATAGTTAATCTGTAACGAGCTAGCTTTTCCAAGGGCAGTAGCACAGATAGCAACAAAGACACCATCTTTTTTTGTGGCAGTTGTAGACTGCTGTGTGGTGTGTACTTTCACAGCAGTATGATAGGTTTATACAAAAAAAGCTATATGGCAAATATCATGGTTGTCAGATTAAACTGACTGTGTCATTTTCAGGGTTGGACATAAATTTGTATCCGGCTTTTAAAACTGCATGTGTGTAAGAGAATGAATTGGTTCTGTGACACTTAAGCAATATATTGATATATACAACTAATGGTAATAGCTCTGAGTTCTTGGGAGTCCACAAAAATGTGATTTCATTTTCCCTTTAAGTGCTATTCAGATTAGTGATTTAGGGAAATTCTGACAACCTTCAAGATGGCCATCAAGATGCAAGAGGTTAATCCAACCCTTTTGCCCTGCCTTGACTCCCAGAATTCTGAGCTCCAACTGTGGCTCTTATTTCCTGTTCTTCGTTTAAATGCACAGTCTCCTGATACATTGCTTGTTGCAGACTTTTATATACCCTGGAAATCCAATAAGTTAATACTTTTTACAGAAAGAGTTGAATTTGAGTTGCTCTAATAGATCTGTACTTCAATTACAGTCAAATAAACAATAGATCTGTAAACTTTGACCCTGAAATATTGGGATTTTTTAGCAATGATTTCTGTTTCAGGCCCTTTGTTTTCAGTTTTTACTGATTTTTTTTTTTTAAACAAAAATTCCTGGGTTTTATAAAAGCTACTATTTGGTTTTTTATTGTTTTTTTTTCCTACCTGAATTTTGGACCCTGCAATACATGAAAATACTGACGATGATAAGAAAATCCAGGACATTACATGAAGTAGATATGTTTATTTTAATAATAAATTAGTCTAAATTGTAAATATGAGGCTGTCTGCTCAAGTAAGGCAGAGTTGTGGAATGAACAACACACATGCATGTGCACATATGTATGTACTGTTAATGTGCAGTTAATGAAATAAACCACACCATTAAACTGCTTTTACTTTTAGTACTCTTACTTTTCTCTATTTGTTGCTTTTTTTTCTGTCCTAACCTCTCCCAATATTTACCCAGAAAACTGCTCACTTAGTTTTTTTGCACCAATTTTCACCTATTCTAAAATGTTTGTAATAAATATTGATAAATTCCCAGGAAATTTTCAAACAAAGTAATAACTGAAAATGAAGGCCTTACTTATGCTGTATGCTAACTAGATTCTTCTCTGTCCAAAGTAACAGGTAAAATCAGAAACATTGTTTTTGTAATACTTCATTGAGTTTTATAATAAATCATAAATCTATGAAAAATATTCTCACAATGCAGTTTTACAATAACACTTTAAAGTCTTAGTGGAAATATTTCTTACTATGAACATTTATGAATGAAAACAAGAAAACTTTATATTGCAATAAAGTACAAATTTAAACTTTTTTTTTTTTTAAGTCCTTCCCTGGGAAATTTGCTTGAAGAAGCACAGAAACTTAGAAATAGTCAATAACTTTAATCCAAAACTTTCTGGTACCACAGATTAGGGTATGACAAGTCTTAAATCTTGCTCCACGGATTCTTCTCCCTTCTGGTAAACCTTGCAGACCACTCTGTTTTACACCAAGAATGTTTCTACTTAAAATGATATAATTAGCAACTTCACATCCATAGTATACTTTTCCTTTGTTCACAGCTTTTCTGACACAAATCAATACCAAAATAGTAATGACTCTGTGCTTTGCTTGAAAATGTATGTAGTTTTGAAGGAGCTGCCTGAATTACAGATACATTCAAACAGTCAACAAAGAACAAGAACTGGCATCACTCATAGAACTGGTGATTGCTTTTACATTTGAAACAAGCTTTGACTCTGTGCTTAACCTGAAAAACAAGCTGTCTGGAAACAGAGAGGTGTGGGGGGAGCTTGTTATCAAGCCACAGAGAAAAGCAAAAGGTTTGAAATACATAAGCTTTCTGGAAAATACAGGTCTGATTTCTGGGAAAATGCACGTGGCCCATCATCCTTTTATAACCCACACTTTCAAGATAAAAAATTATGGAGATCCCACCAGTTAACTGTGTGTGGGTATTTCAATAGCAATGTAACTGTTTCATTTGTTATATATTGTTGGATATTCCATTATATAATAAATGTAAATCCTGCTCTTCATTGGATACTTGTAAAATAATAGTCTTGATAACTATTTCACATCAGTCAGTCATGTGAAAGCTATTAATGACAGCTAATAAGAATAATTCTTAAAAAAAAAAAAAAAGAAACCCCCACACAAAATTGCTTCTTAGCATTACCAGTAAATGGATATGACCAAATCTGCTATGGGAAATTTTTGACAGATGTGACGATGGGTTAAAGGTTCACTTAAATAAATGTAAAGAGATGAAAACATTAAATTGTTTCTTCCTAATCTAGGGAGGATCTGATTGACAAAAAAATTGAAAATGCCGTTTCCTGGATGCAATCTGTTATTGAGCTTGGCCGGGTAATCCGAGACAGAAAAACCATTCCAGTAAAGGTTAGAAGCTTTTAATATCTCTTACATCAATATTCCATGAACATATAGCAGCTTTGTAACTTTCGGAGAAGGGGGGAGTAAGTGACTAAATCTGTGCTAGCAAGCAGAATTAAACAGAAAGAATTTAGTTTAAAATGACCAAAATAATACTTTCTGTAGCCCTTTATTTCTTCTCTCAGACTGAACCTGTATTGATTTTTGTTGCAGTATCCACTAAAAGAAGTAGTGGTTATCCATCAGGACCCAGAGGCCCTGGAAAACATCAGGTCTTTGGAGAAGTATATACTTGAGGTAAGAACATAATCAACAGAGGAGATTAATGGAGTTTTACTGTGCAAGTCAGTTTGAAAGAAGCTCTTCTATATCATAGCTATTGGCTAGGTTAATACCTCACTTACTGAAATTCAGTTAAGTTACATATACTGCTCTTTTGGGCCACATTCCATATTTGTGAGTCATATAAATGGGAGCTGTGTGCAAAGGGTGGATTATGACCCTAAATCTACAGACTACATTTATGAGAGAAACTTCATCTCTGAAAGTGTCTGACCACACAGCATGACTTTGGTAATATACAAGTCATTCAGAGAACTTTAGAAATATACTTTTTCATGATCATTGTGGGGCAGAAATGAAGTTTGAATGAAAATGAGGCATGCTAAATCACTCAGGATTGCCAAAGTATATTATAGCCAAATCTTGGAGGTGAAATTGTAGGGGTAATCATTATTTATCAATAAATAATTCAAGGATATTAAAATGCAATGACTAGAGTATATGCTGAAGGGTTAAGGAAGTATACAGATCCATAGCTTGCTTAGATGGAAAGTTCTGTGAAAAGTAAGAGCAGAAAACAATTGAGTATGTTCCAAAAGCTCTCAAAGCTTAACCTGTTTTTCCAAAGTTCTATAGAAAATAAAATGTCAAATAGGTAAGATTTTATGGTCTATATAATTTCTTGCAATTATCTTGAGCATCCCCTGTGATATGCCTTTGTAGTACTTTCTCTTTCATGTGGATCCATTAGAGAAAATGCACTCTGCCCTCCTTTAATACTTTACTAGGATAAAAACCCTGCCATTCAAAATAAATTAACCTTTTTGGTATTTGACATATTTAAGTTAACTGTCAAATTGTCTGGGCATCCTGCTTTCAGCCAGTCATCTAAAAATTAGTAGTTTCAAGATGTTCTTGAAGCTTTTAATCTCTGTACCAAATTCAAGAAGTTGCAGTGGGGAAACAAACTTATTTCTTTTTATCTTTAAATGCTGGTTGTGGAGCTGTTATTCATTGTCTCTTGAATTCAATTAAATGCTATTACAAACAGCTCATTTTAAAGTGTGTATTCTTTCACTTCAAAGATATCCTGCAGTAGAAAAATCAAGTGTGTGGGTAGAAGGGCAGGAAGGTAACATTTGGTAAGGAAGACTGTTTTTCAGCCGGAGTGGCTAGTTTTAGGGGTACTTTGAACTCTATACTCATGTTATCTACCTTGGTAAAAGGATGACATGGAGAGTGCCAGGTGTTTAGAATTAATTAAGCAATATATAGTTGAATTGTTTAGCTTGATGATTTAGGTGGATTGTCACGTGAAGTCTATAGGAAAATGTGTGCAATGGTGAAAATCTGATTAGTGTTATAAAATAAATATCCAAATTAAAGCACAAAAATTGCATAGGATCTTCATTGAGCATGTGATTAAATCCTCCATAGGGAACGGTAACTGCACATAAACATTGAATGTAGTAGTTCCTTCATCCAGTCATCCTTTGCATGAACTTGATTGTTTTGTTGTAATATAACTTCATTTTGTGCATCATCTTGGTAATATTCACTAAAGAAACAGATTAAAATGTACTTGAAAAAATCTTTTTGTTTTTACCAAATAACAAGGGAGATAGTTCAAGATTGGAAAAGATTTTAAAAACGAATTTATTTTTTCTTTGCTGTTTAATACTTGTTTCTCTTCGATTAGGCAATATAAATGGACTAATCAATTTCACTTTCAGGTTCATATCCACTAGCAGAATTCTGCCCAGTTTGGGCTACAAGCACTGCAATAAACGTTTGTTTATAAAAAGTGCTCTCATTAGAATTTTGTTTAGTGATAAAATAGAAAATAAAATTATAGAAACACTTCTACCAGTGCTTGGTTTGGTACACTCTAGGCCAATTTTGACTGGTCTCTTTAAATGTGAAAATATAAATTCTTCCGCGTAGCATTGCACAGTCTGGTTAGGTGTACTGAGAGTGTTTCACTTTTTCTAGAGCCATCAGGCACTGACTGATACCAAACTAGACTCCAGAGGACTGATAAAGTATCTTAACTAGGAATCTTCTATGTCCTTCATGGCCATACAAAGACAGCCTCCCATTCTGGCTCTTGGAGTGGTAGTATGTGTTGAATAGCCACCCAGTCTTTGATAATATCTTCTCTCCAATTCTTGGCAGTTGGAGATTGTGTGGTCCAGTGGTATGAGTATTGGGCTGGGAGCCAGCAACTCCTGAGTTCTAATGCTGGTTTTGTTAGCACTGACCCTCTTGTCTTCAGCAAGTCATTTAGCCTCTCTGCCTTTCTTCATCTGTAAACCTAGGAGTAATACTCAAGGCACAAGGGAGTTATGAGGGTTGTTGTAAAGCTCTAAAAGTATTGGTTTATTTACATTTGTATAATGTAGTACCCTGTTTCCCCGAAAATAAGACAGTGTCTTATATTAATTTTTGCTCCCAAAGATGCGCTAGGTCTTATTTTCAGGGGAGGTCTTATTTTTCCTGGAGCTTCGGGGCCTTATATTCCGGGGTGGCCTTATTATCCGGGAGGTCTTATTTTCGGGGGATGCCTTATATTACAGCGAGAGGCAAAACTGGAAATAGGTCTTATTTTCGGGGGATGTCTTACTTTCGGGGAAACACGGTATTAACTTACATTGGTTTTTGGGAACACAGACAGTTGTATAAAGGTAAGGCTGGGTTGACCTCTCAAATTAAACATAGGAAAGTTTGTAATAAATGGTGTTAAGGATTAATTAAAGTTCCGCACCTATGACAAAAATAAGAGACATCTTTTTTCTTAAAAACACCAGGCAACACACTCAATAAGACATTTCTTAGGGTGTATTAATTTCCCCCTGGGTTAGAGTTGTGCTGTGTAAATCTTAGTCTTTCAGGTTGATACCAAAACCCAATATTTGTTTTGCTACTTATAGAAAGTTTTCAAGTTAGTTACTGGAAAGGAGAGCACAGACCTAGAGATATCCATGTGAACTCAGCCAATTTGCTCCATTTTGATTATACTTCTCAGCTTTGTTGTTCATCAAACTTGATAATGTAATCAGAGTATTTGTGACTTTTATTTTTTATTCTTTAGCATTAATGCCAGAAATGATTTTTGGTAACTTTGATAAAGTGGGATTTCTCTTGTGATTTACCTCTGTGATGTCACTTACAGTGTAAGCTTTTAGTACAACTCCTGACAAAAGAAATTGAGAAGTGCAGGAGATGTCAATTTTTGTAAAACCTCATTTATCAGAACAACTTTCTTCGGAGAGCTCTGTTTTAAAATGACTTGCTCTGTGAACTGCAATCTTTGATTCTTTATTATGAAAATTAAGCAATTATTTTAAACAAATGAAACTTAAGACTAATGGTAGGGCTGTTAAACTAGGCAATCGATCCCTTGCCAAAAATGGTTTAAGTGCTAGTGCACAAAGGACCAAAATCAAGCTCACAAGAGAAACAAGTCTTAAGAAAGCTTTTAGTAACAGTGCCAAAAATGGGTTTGTCTTGTCAGCACTAGCAATTAAGCCATTTCCAGCACTGGTTTGAGGGACTTGTTGCAAAGCCCTTTCAGTGAAGGATCAGTGTCCTAACGAGGTTTTACACAGTTTTGAAATCCATCAGACAGCCCAACATACTGTATGAGCAGGAATCTTGGGTTCTATGTATCAAAGTTTTTTATAGCTTTATACTCCAAAAAAGAAATGTGCAACTCTTCACCCTACATATTAAAATGGAACATAATCTATTCAATATGGGCCATATCCAGGATCTCCCATGGTTCCATATTAATTGTGATGCCACAGCATAGTGCATGATGGAGCATTAGATTGAGTTGGCTAGCTAAAACTGATTTGGATATTATGGTCTTAAATTTTTTTTTTCTTCCAATGTAATATGCTGAATACTCATCTTACGTTAGTTATTGGGAGAATTCAGTCCACATTTAATCAGTACACAACTTACTGCAAGTATCATAGAAGTGTAGTCTGGAAGGACTTCAAAGTCCTCAAATCCAGCCTCCTGCCCTGGGGTAGAACCAAGTAAACCTAGACCATCCCTGACAGGTGTTTGTCCAACCTGTTCTTAAAAACCTCAATGATGGGGATTCCACAAACTCCCTTGGAAGCCTATTTCAGAACTTAACTAACCTTACAGTTAGAAAGATTTTCCTAATTTTTAATCTAAATCTCCCTTCCTGAAGATTAAGCCCATTACTGTTTGTTCTACCACCAAACGACAAGGAGAACAATTGATCACTGTCCTCTTTATAATGACCCTTAACATATTTGAAGACTGTTATTAGGTCCCCACTGAGTCTTCTTTTCTGTGGACTAAACTTGTCCAATTTTTTAACTTTTCCTCATAGTTCAGGTTTTCTAAAACGTCTGTCATTTTTGTTGCTGTCCTCTGGACTCTCCAGTTTATCCACGTTTCTTGAAGTGGAGTGCCCAGAATTGGATACAATATTGCAGCTGAGGCCCCACTATTGCCAAGTAGAATGGGATGATTACCACCCCCTGTCTTACATACAACGTTCCTCCTAATAGATCCTAGAATTATATTAACCTTTGTTGCAGCTCATCACATTATTGACTCACATTCAATTTGTGATCTTCTATAACCCCCAGATCCTTTTCAGCACTACCACCACCTTGCCAGTTATTCCTCATTTTGTGGTTGTGCATTAATTTTTTTCTTTCTAGCTGGGAATGGACGAAGGGATGGATCACTTGATGATTACCTGTTCTGTTCATTCCCTCTGAAGCACCTGGCATTGGCCACTGTCAGATGACAGGATACTGGGCTAGATGGACCTTTGGTCTGGCCATTCTTATGTCCTCCTCGAGTTCTCGAAGATAATTGCTAACAGTTCTGAGATTGCTTCAGCTAGTTCCTTAAATAGCCTAGGATGAATTTCGTCAGGCCTTGGAGTTGTGTGCAAGTTTGTCACAGAGGTAATCTAATTGGTGTTAGATAGGGTGTCAGTTGTATTATGTGAGGAAATCCTATTGGTTAATCCCTGATGCAGAATTTATCAGATTAAATATGCTTAACAAAACAAAAATTACATAAATAGTTATCAGAATTTAAAAAAACACTCAGTTTCTATAGGAGCATTTACAGTTTTTGCTACATGGAGGAAGAAGTAAAATGCTTTATAAATACTCCAGCAGCAGACGTCCACCCTTTCAAAAAAAAATATGTTCGTGTTCTGCTAGCTCTAGCTGTAATTCTGTTATTGTAAGATGTCCGCAGAGCTGCCACCTGAAATGACAGCACACAGCCACTAATCCATAAATTTAAAAGGCAAGACTGAAAATAAAGTCCATTATGGATGGATACTATCCAATAAAGATGTCTGCAAAGTCCATAGCCATTTTCTTCTGTGTCAGATCATGCTGCTAAAATCTCTTGTTTCAGACAGACTGATGCTTCACTTCAAGAACCATTTGATTTCATTTCATGAAATTTTTTTGGTGTATGAAAACTGCAGATTCTGCCCCAACAATGAAAAATAAAGGTTTTGACGCAGCAAGTGCTATTTTTAAAAGTTGGCTTTTCAGGAGAAAATCTAACTTTTTAAGTGTTGTGAAGGAATAAACATTTAAGAGGACAAGAATTATATTACATACATTATTTTTAGTCACTTTATTAATCAAATACCTTCTTGAAATTATTTTGTATTATTGCATTGATTAAAAATATAAATGAAGGTCATGATTAATCCAGGATGAAAGGACCTATGCCATGCTCACTATTGGATTCTGGAGAGAAATGCTGAGTCTAAGCATTCAGTACAAGATAATGTAAATAAAATGACTTAAAATACATATCGATCTCCTAATATCTCTAATAAAGGATGGGGCCAAATTAGAGTGCTGAGAGAATTTTTAAACAAATGCAATGGGAAAGGTTAATGGCATTCATGATATACTATTTTCCTGGTAAATTAAATATTTTAGTTAATTTAATATGTATTTATTTATTTTGGTGTAAGTTACTTAAATTTACTTTAACACATTTTTGAAAACTAGAGCTTTTGCTTTGTGGCTTTACTTTGTGTACTGTAGATTGTTAAAGTATTGAGATGCAAGTATTTAAAATAATTGTAGTACAGATGCACATTGTAACGTTACACGGTGTATAGATATCTTTGTGTGTAATTGTACAGATATAATTACACGTTCATGCACACAGTATAATGACTTAATTTTATATTGAGAAAATTAAGGATGTCCTAGTGGCAAAGTCAAATAAATCAACTGTTTTTTCTAATCAAAACAATATGTTGAGACTAATACACAATTAAACCTATGCTATCCTGCTACTTGATTGCACAGGCAACTTTGCTTAAATAATTCTACTAGTATTATCACTAACACTATATGCAGAAAACTAGTTTTTAATCTGATTATTCTTGAATATTGATTGGCTAGTATGGCTAGTTTTTGGATTTACCTTGTTAAAACTCAGGCAGAGATGTTGTATAAACTTGAGCTGTGTCTTATTTGTTATGTCTGTCATTTGTCACTTTCCATATGGGTTTGTGTCTAACAGCACAGAGTTAAAACTTAATTACCTCTGAAACATTTAATTCCAGTTCAATTTTCTTTCCTAAGCAAGTTTGTTAAATGGGACAGTATGTTAAATGAGTATTCTTCTAAGCTGTTCTCTTCAACAGGACTTCCTTAGAGATGAGTCTGTGGTGTAGAGAGAATATTTAGCCATCATAACCCCAATCTAACTATTTCAGCTGTTGGTCCTTTCATACTGACATGGGTGGTATTTTTCTAGTTTCCACATCTTATACAAAATAGATTGCTTATTAAATGCATTAGGTGATTCTATCGCAACTTGTGTGAACTCTGCTAACCTGTCAGGTACTAAAAGCAAAACGTGTAGGTTATTCAACAAATTCAATATAGGTGGTCTTGGTAAGTGCATAGAATTTTACAACCAACAATGTCAGTAAAAGAGTTAATGTATGGTATGCTGGGGGCAGAAGTTGTAAAGCACTGTTACAAACAAAAAATGAAAGAAGATAGAGCAAGATTCTGCCTTAAGCTCCAATTTTAGATACGAAATTGTGTGTCTTAAGTGTGACATTCTTCTTTAATTTTACAAAGTAGACAGAATAACCACAGGCTTTCTATAAGACTCAGAGCACTTTTAGTGTAGTCTAAATCTAGATACAGTGCTTTCCTCTTTAGAAGGAAATTCCTTAAACCTACAGAAATTACAAGTGGTGCATGTAGTGATCTCTGGTTTTCAATAGAGTTGGATGTAGAGTACAAAAGTCTACAATGGTTCTTGAAAATCTGCATCGCTTCAGGCCAAAATATGTAACAAAGGTAAAAGTTCGGAGGCAACTTTTAATTTAATTAAATGATGAGGAAAACATCTGTAGTTCTGCATCAGAATTTACTGGCAGAATTCCAGAACCACAGGCCATTAATTTAACTTGTTCAAAATGCATCCACATACAATGAGGATGTAGGAAAACCAGAAAAGGAAAAAGGCAAAATGAGGTACTCAGGTTGATGTTTGGTCACTGAAGAACTAAAACTTGTAGTAGTTTGTTGGCTACAAATAAACTGCAGCCAACATCTTAACACAATCCTGAATATGTTATGCATCCTTTTGAGTCAATGTCTGCCAATATAATTTATTGGACACACAAAGATCCTTCAGTCCTATCTCTTCACATAGTAGAAAAGCATCAGAGAAGGCTAGTCTGATTTGAGGTTAGAGCTGCACAGAATCTTTAGATTGTAGTGAAATCTTTACCCAATAGGCCAAATGGACTGCAGCTGTAATATGGGAGTGGGATCTGCGCCTAAAGAATAATCTACATGTCATTGTTTTGTTTATACATTGTCACACTGGTGTAGCAGATTAATCCTTTTATTTATAAGGACATCTAGATAGAAAACTCTTCGCGTGCATGCTATAATCTTCCTCCCACCCCTTTTCCCTATTTTTCCAAGTATAGTATTATTTTTGTGATAGTGGTTATTTTGCTTATATGTTTATTTTCTTTTGGCAAATTTATACAGGAACTTAACGTACGTCAGGTGACATTGTCTACTGATAAAGATAAGTACGGAATCCGTCTAAGAGCGGAACCGGATCATATGGTGCTTGGGAAGCGCCTGAAAGGGGCCTTTAAAGCTGTTATGACTGCCATCAAGGAGCTGAAGAGTGAGCAGCTGGAAGAATTCCAAAAGACAGGTGCATAGTGGGACTGTATGCATTGATCAGCAGTTGATGGTCATGATGTGGACCTTGCAAAGAAGAGCCAAATGATTTCAGGCTTCAGGCTCAAGCCATTGCTTTTAGTTTAAATTTATAATAATCAGTTTAACACATTTTTTGTAAAAAAATAAACACAAATACATTGTTAGATCAAAATGCAAGAGATTTTAAAGGCCCAACCCCCAGCTAACATTCCAGGCAAACTAGTGAACTTTCTAAGTGAGTAAAGGGAAGCTGTGAATTGATACCTTGAACCTACTTGTCTAGAGTAGAAACAAATGGCTTTATGTGCTTAATTTACACATTGCTTCTATGTACTATGGTGAAAACTATTATGTAGAACAGAGTAGACTGATAGATTCTTGTATGGAGTACAAGAACTGTATTGTTCCATGACTCTTAAATTCATTTATGAAGTAAACATCTAGCTGAAACTTTTTAAAAAATATTTGTTTAATAATTTCCGGTGGGTGGGATTTTTCCAAACATCTTTACTCTGTCTTGTATGTTTAACTCTTATTCAGCTTTAATAACAGACAGCTATTGATTCCAAATGGTCTGCACCAATCGTGGTGCTTGAGCTTAAATTCTGCTGCTTGTAGTGACTTTACTTTGGAAAGTCTAAATTTGGAGTAGTTTTAGTGTTCCTGAGAATTGCTTAGCAATGTTGGACAGCAGTGCTGGACTTCAAATAACATAGCTCAGGATTTCTATCAATTTAGTTGCTTATAATCAGAGTTACCTGTATTAACACAATGAGGAAACTGTCTTCCTGTTGAAAGAAATGTCATAATGTGATGTATTTCTTGTATTTGAAGTTTGATATTAATGTATACTTAGTTCAAGAGTTAACTGCAGTATGCTCACTGACATGACTAAGAGAGAAAGGCTTTGTTTTGTAATAAGCTAGTGTAAATAATTGTCTTATTAATTATATAGGTACCATTGTTGTGGAAGGTCATGAATTACATGAGGAGGATCTCCGTCTCATGTACACCTTCGATCAGGTCATGGGCGGATCTGCCCAGTATGAGGCACATTCTGATGCTCAGGTATTAATTGTAGTAATTATTTCTCTGCTTTAAGCAAACTGTTTCCCTAAAAAGCAGGGCCGGCTCCAGGCACCAGCCCAGCAAGCAGGTGCTTGGGGTGGCCAAGGTGAAGGGGCGGCACGTCGGGCTGTTCGGCGGCAATTCGGCGGCGGGTCCCTCTCAGAGGGAAGCACCTGCCGCCGAATTCCCACTGAAGAAGGAGGCGGCAGGGTGGAGCTGCCGCCGGGGGGCCGGCGCGCGGGGGGGGGGGGGGGTTTTTTTTTTTTTTTTTTGCCCCCCGCCGCTTGGGGTGGCAAAAACCCTGGAGCTGGTCCTGCTAGAAAGTAAGCATTTAAATATTTAAGTGAAGTAATTGTGGCACAGTGAGTGAGTTCAAATCATATTTAGTACACAACTAAAAATGAGCGCTGTTGTCTTAACCTAGTTCTTACCGGACACTCATCTATGTCAATGGAAATGCCAGTACTCAGGATAGTATAATGGATAGCTCACTCTCCTCCAGCGGTATTGACTGTTCATTTGTAACAGGAATAACAGCAGTAAAGGCTGATCTTTGTCACTAAAGAAACTGTGACTTTGAATCCATATGTGGAGCTGATCTGTTGAACATGAACACACCTTATTAAGTCTGTCTACTCGCCATAACCAACCTTAAGTAAACAGCTTTATAAAAATGAAACCGTGCATGTTAATGCAATAACTGGTGTATTTTACTAATGCCTCTGCTGTACATTCTTTCAGGTTTTAGTTCTCCTAGATGTCACCCCAGATCAGTCAATGGTTGACGAAGGAGTTGCTCGCGAAGTGATTAATCGCATCCAAAAACTTCGCAAGAAGGTTAGTAAGTGATGGAATGTGATATCATTTTGAAAAATCAGTTTTATATATTATACTGAGGATGTTAAAGTTTCCAAATTGATTTAAAGTGCAGCTCCATGTACTTTAATATTGCTTGGTTAGCTGTAGAAATGTTTGCAGCCTACAGGTCAAGACATAAGTGGAAATAAGCTATGTTGGTCACTCCTTCTTGGTCTCATAGCAGCTAGCAGTCTAACCAGACCCCATATTGCTTGCATGCCTATATCATTTATAGTGGAGACACATCTTCCAGAAGTGGAGCAAATACAGCTTATGCCAAATCTTCTGATTTCTTTCCCCACCCACTAGCATCAATTCAGTCTTATCTGGTTTGAGCCTCAGCCTGCTAACCCTCATCCATGCCCCAGTTTCTACCAGACAGTGAGTGTGAGATCTCTGCCCCAGTTTGGGTGAGTTAGACTGCATCAGCTGGATCAGTGACAGAGAGATGAGCTGGCTGCGATCATCATACTTGAAGACACCACAGCTCGTATGTCTTCATTCACACAAGCAAATGTGTGTTTTACCAAAATGTGCGAGGGAATGTCTGACATTGTGTTGACAAAAGTATTTTGCCGATTTATTTCTCTCTTCCTTGTTGCATGAAACATTGTTTTTGGCCTAGTTTCCCAAACCAGAGCCCTGTCTATGTTAAGGCAATTTGAACCAGTATAACTATGTTAATATAGTTAGCGTGGTGCCACGCCCCTAAGGTATATGCACTGTCTCCACTCAATGGAAACTCCACTTCGCACCAATGTACATTAGGCATATGCATCAGTGTGACTATCCTGGTTCAGATTTTCTTAATGTGGACAGGACCTATAGTACTGTATAGCCCGTGCAAGAAAATATAATGGCTTCAAAATCCACAAGTAAAAGCTAATACTCCACAGCCATTGTGGCCAGATTGTACATATATCTACACTGACTCCCATTTGTAGTCTTTCCTGAGTGTAGGATTGAGATTCTGTTATTCATGGGATAGGTTCTGGGGAATCAATCTGTCTGATATGTTTAGAGTTAATTCTTTAGAGAGCATCCATAAAGATTGACACACCGATATCAATGATGGTACAGAATAAAAATAGGAAAGAATACAGGCAAGAAAATTACCCTTTAACAGAAGCTATTGCAAAAGTTAAATTTACTATCAGAATGTTCTAGGGTCATAAATTCTTCCCATCTGGTCACTAAACCCCATATTTTTTTTTTATCTCTATTTATTATAACTGTCATTGCTAAAAAACATCCTACAATTTCCATTGCTTCATTCCTGTTCCTTTTGTTAAAGTCTGGTTGTTTTTCCTAATGAATTATTTAGAAACATCCTAAGCTTTCAAAAACATATTGCAGTGCGATGTAGCAAGAATGGTACTGTTCAGAGGCTTGGGGAGTTTGAGTTCCTGCCCCAACAAATTGTAATTCATAATTCATGTGAGGTACTGGTCCGAAACACTGATGTGCATCCAGCACTATGTGTGCAGGTTACTGCCATATGTTTTAAGATATCTATATATAAATTTCAGTGCTTGATTGTGACAGCTGCAGAATCACTCACAGTTTAACTTGTTAAAAGCTTTGGTCTGAGACTAACATGTTGTTTTAATCCTATCTGAATTATTTAGCATCATGAAGAACTGAATATCTATAAATTAGTTCATTTGATTCAGAAACATATTGTGTTTATTTATATTCATTCAGTTGACTGGAAGGATACTTTCTGCTTCTGTCAAAAGAATAGCCTTGTTTTCAGTTTTCAGGAAAAACGTTTAGTTCCATACTAACAGAAATATGACTGATATTTTTCTAAAATACTTTAAAAAAAGTTTTAACTTGCATGTTTCTTACAGAAGTTGTATATGTACATATAAACTTGCTGTCACTGAACTGAAATTCTGGATTTTGTTTCAGCGCAATCTAGTTCCTACGGATGAGATTACTGTATATTACAGATCACATCCTGAAGGTGACTACCTGGATTCTGTTATTAAGGAGCATACGGATTTCATTTTTGCAACAATAAAGACTGCCCTGAAGCCATACCCTGTGCCTACTTCAAGAGAAGTGCTCATTCAAGAGAAAACCCAAGTAAGAATGATACATTGAACTACATGCTTGAAAGTATTTTTGGTTCAGATTAAACTGAATGATACATTGGACTACAGACGATGGCCTACATGTTGACATTCCTTGTTGGTTTTATCAGATGGCTGTAACCATTTCAGACCTGCAGATTGCCATAGCCAGCATTTTAAGTACAAAATATCAAGGGGCTCTGCTTGGGTGTTCAGTATCTTTGAAAATCAGGCCACTTAGGGTGTATCTACACTGCAGTAAAACATCTGTAGCTGGCTGTGTCAGCTGACTTGGGCTGTGGGTCTAAAATTGCAGTGCAGATGTTTGGGCTCAGGCTCCAGAGCTATGAATAAAAACTGGGTAATAATGATTTCTTCAGGCCTTATAGAGGATCTGATGCCACAGTACTCTACTTTAACTGAAGTTACCCAAACAGTTCAGTTTAAACAAAGCACTGGATTAGCTTTGATTTAAATAAAAGTTTATTCAACTACAGAGAGAGAGTTTAAGGGAGTACAAGTATAAGACATTAAAGTCGGAAATGATTACAAGAGAAATAAAAGAAAAAACGCTTTCTGCTAGTTAAAATTTAACAAGCTAGACTTTGTTCAAGGAAAAATCCTTACGACAGGTTCCCAGCAGCACTGTGTGACCAAATTCTCAAGTCAGGAACTTCCCCAAAGTTAAAGGGTTGATTCCTTTGTCGTCTTAAATGAGAGCAAGCTTGGGGTGTTTTTACCCCTCGCTTTTATAGTCCAGTCACCCTTTGACATGCATTTTCCTGAGCGTTACCCTTAGATAACGTTCCTTCCTGATGTGAGGACAGAGATGGAGTCTCATGAAAGAGGTTCCATGTTGTTGCTTACTAAAATGCAGATCGATCTGTTCCTGGCCCCCTTCATTGCCAAAGAATGGCCACTTGACAAGTGATTGCTAATCAACTTTAACAGTTGTCTAGAGGCATCAGCTTGTCCTTTGTCTTTGAGAAACCAGTTTACCCCCTCTCCAGACTTGTCTGGTAAACACATTATGGTCATAATTTCAGCTAATGTTCATAACTCTTAATGCACATTTTGTATATACATTACACAAAAATATTGATGATCTATGTGTTGTTAGTTTTTAAATGATACCTCACTAGGCGTATTTTGCACAAAAATATTATAATAGAGTGTGAATCCAGGGGTATTTTGCCCTTGCATGTGTGATAAAGATGGTATTACATTAAAATCAAGTCTAATTTTTATTAAAATCCTTTATAAGGCTTGAAAAAACCATTTTAACCCAGTTTTTAGTGATAGTTTTGGAGTTTAGCCTTGCATGATAATACAGAGCAGGAATTTGGAAGCTTTTGCCAGGTGGCTTACATTTTTCAGCACCAAAGTCGAGCTTCTTCCTTTGCTTTAGTAGATATTTGGCCTCCTTGGACCAAAGCTAGTCTTGAGCATGCCTTTATCTCACTATTCTGCTCAGAATGTGCTTGTGTGTCACATTAAACAAGAGTGACAAGCCCACATGGCGGAAGAGTCTAGACATAAAGTAACTTAATGATTTGATCTGCAAAATGATGTATGCCCTGGGAATATCTGAAAACGAAGAGGTAGATATTCGTGAATCATTTTTGACCCTGTACTGATACAGAGGGACATATTTGTTTTTCTTATGAATGAATTTGTAAGGTCAGAAGAGTTTCAAACAAGGCGATCTCTTATCTTTGTTCAACACAGTTAGTTATCTCTTGACAAAGGCATTGGGCAATATTTGACTGAAAATTAGAGAACATGCTGATGTAAGAGTTGGTGAGAACACAGTAAAAGACTGAGAACTGGCAAGTAGTTTGTCATAAATATGGAGCTAGATGCTGCTTGACTGGAGATTTGACCTTAGAAAGTTGAGTCCAAATCTGAGCGCAAACACTGGAGAATGTAGGACAGCTGGAAATAGTGAATTTAGTGTGAATGAAATTGTGCAGATGGTTTGTAAAAATGGGATGAATGAGGCACAATATTCTAAAGTGCTTTCCATAAGATCTGATTTTCAAGGCCTCATGGATAGTCCATCTATTTGCTCAGACTTTTGCTTGAGGGTATGATTGTGGGGCACATTTGTGTTTACGGCATAACTGCGATGTTGAGTACTGTATTTAGCTTAATACACTGGTCTACAATTTTTGAGAAGTCGTCTGCTTCAGAGATAAAATGTGCTATTTATTATGTATTTTGATGTGCTGAATTCAAATATGACAATTAAAACAACTGATTGGCTACTGTTTCTAAGATATTTAAGTTTTTACATTTTATGTCTATGTATATTGTGTAGATAGTAGAGTTTTAATCATAAATTGTAAACCTAGGTCTTTTCATGTGTTTATGGTTGCTTTACATGATATTTCACTTGTCCTGTTTATGTAACACTTTAAAAATCAGCAAAAGGGTTATATAAATAAAATTTATTATGAAACAAAAGGCAAAAAACTATTATGTACGTAGTTTAGTCCCATTCAGTGTCTACTCGGCGCTTCTTGGCTTGTCTCTTGTATTCATTAAATGGAGCATCTCTTGCCACTGTCCAGCAATAGTCTGCAAGCATTGATGGGCTCCATTTGCCCTGATAGCGTTTCTCCATTGTTTCAATGTCCTGGTGAAATCGCTCGCCGTGCTCGTCGCTCACTGCTCCGCAGTTCGGTGGAAAAAAATCTAGATGAGAGTGCAAAAAATGTATCTTTAGTGACATGTTGCAACCAAGGCTTTTGTATGCCTTGAGGAGGTTTTCCACCAACAACCTGTAGTTGTCTGCCTTGTTGTTTCCGAGAAAATTTATTGCCACTAACTGGAAGGCTTTCCATGCCGTCTTTTCCTTGCCACGCAGTGCATGGTCAAATGCATCATCTCGAAGAAGTTCACGAATCTGAGGACCAACAAAGACACCTTCCTTTATCTTAGCTTCACTTAACCTTGGAAATTTTCCACGGAGGTACTTGAAAGCTGCTTGTGTTTTGTCAATGGCCTTGACAAAGTTCTTCATCAGACCCAGCTTGATGTGTAAGGGTGGTAACAAAATCTTCCTTGATTCAACAAGTGGTGGATGCTGAACACTTTTCCTCCCAGGCTCCAATGACTGTCGGAGTGGCCAATCTTTCTTGATGTAGTGGGAATCTCTTGCACGACTATTCCATTCGCAGAGAAAACAGCAGTACTTTGTGTATCCAGTCTGCAGACCAAGCAAGAGAGCAACAACCTTCAAATCGCCACAAAGCTGCCACTGATGTTGGTCATAGTTTATGCACCTCAAAAGTTGTTTCATGTTGTCATAGGTTTCCTTCATATGGACTGCATGACCAACTGGAATTGATGGCAAAACATTGCCATTATGCAGTAAAACAGCTTTAAGACTCGTCTTCGATGAATCAATGAACAGTCTCCACTCATCTGGATCGTGAACGATGTTGAGGGCTGCCATCACACCATCGATGTTGTTGCGGGCTACAAGATCACCTTCCATGAAGAAGAATGGGACAAGATCCTTTTGACGGTCACGGAACATGGAAACCCTAACATCACCTGCCAGGAGATTCCATTGCTGTAGTCTGGAGCCCAACAGCTCTGCCTTACTCTTGGGTAGTTCCAAATCCCTGACAAGGTCATTCAGTTCACCTTGTGTTACGAGGTGTGGTTCAGAGGAGGAGGATGGGAGAAAATGTGGGTCCTGTGACATTGATGGTTCAGGACCAGAAGTTTCATCCTCTTCCTCGTCTGACTCAAGTGAGAATGATTCTGGTGCATCAGGAACCGGCAGTCCTTCTCCGTGGGGTACTGGGCGTATAGCTGATGGAATGTTTGGATAATGCACAGTCCACTTTTTCTTCTTTGAGACACCTTTCCCAACTGGAGGCACCATGCAGAAGTAACAATTGCTGGTATGATCTGTTGGCTCTCTCCAAATCATTGGCACTGCAAAAGGCATAGATTTCCTTTTCCTGTTCAACCACTGGCGAAGATTTGTTGCACAAGTGTTGCAGCATATGTGTGGGGCCCGCCTCTTGTCCTGATCTCCAATTTTGCAGCCAAAATAAAGGTGATGGGCTTTCTTAACCATAGTGGTTATACTGCGCTTTTGTGATGCAAAAGTCACTTCACCAGAAACATAGCAGAAGTTATCTGCACTGTTCACACAAGTACGAGGCATCTCTGCTCACTTTGGCTAAACAGAAATGTGTCCCTTTGCAAAATCAAACACTGACAAATAAGAGAGCACGACACTGTATGATTTCTAGAGCTGATATAGGGCAATTTGTTCAGCAGAGTGATGTAAGCTTCGTTATGATTGCATCATCCATGACTTCTAGGAATAACATGATGCAATTCATATCATGTATGACGCAATACCAGCTTCAGATTGCATCATTCATTGTTTTGCCTAAAAAGCAAGTACTGTCCAAACCCAGTCATAGATCTAATCATAGATCCAGTCAAAGATGTATTTTAGTCATTTCTGGTTTAAATTGAGATCCCTTCCCTTTATAACTCACTTATCCTCCGCCATTCCCAAGTCAAGGGTCGTATATACTGACCCAATAGCATATCTTGAAAACTAGAGCCAATCAACAATTTTAAGCATCATTTTCGTTCTCAGTGACCCAGAATTAGTAAAGTTTGACTACATTTATTTCAGAAGCATTTTGGCTGTAGAGCAGTGATATTGGTCAACTTATTTTGTTTTTAGACATTTGTATCGTAGAATATCTAAGGATGAGCACAAGAGTATTTTTTAAATTTCTCTATCTATGTGATGTTGAGAGCTGATCCTGGCAGAAAAGTGCTGGTTTCTTTGTAGATGTGCTGTGTTGAACATGTTCTGCAGATAGCAGAAAGAACAGTCAGCTATTTTTGAAATTAACAGCTAGTTCGTTACAGAGCACATGTGACATGGTTATGTTGGGTAGTGCTCGTCATGTGAAGATGATGAAAAGAGATCAGACTACAAAAATTAAAGCATTTTAGCAGAGATAAAAT